TAGCAGTAAAATTATCCTAATTTTAAAGTTCGCATTCTCAATGGAGTGTTCTGACAACGCCAAATTTTCTGTTTTAAGCCAAGCATTGCGTTAAGAATGAATTAAATAAGGTGTTCTATCCCTGAATCTATACTTAAATGGAGGAAGCAAAATAAAATCCTGTGATGGATTGCTACAATTTTTCACCTACAATGTCTCTCATTAAAAAATACTTATTTAAAACAGATCTTATGGAAAACCAAGAGAAAAATGGAGACAGAAAGAATTTCCAAGGGTATTCAGCTGTTAGTTAACTGACGGAGAATTTAAATAGCCATAAATGCTCATATAATTAGTTGACCAGTTGTGCATCTGAGCAGAGAAATGGTAACAATCAATCAATCAATCAACAAATGTCTAGAGCTGAAAAAATTAACGGCTAATATGAAGAACTAAAGAATGAGTGTATCAGCACAGTAGATTAGCAGAAGTTAGAAACAGTAAAATTGAAGATCGGAGGACAAATATTCCTCTGTTTAGAAGTGCTGGTCACATGGCAGGTGTACTGGTTACTACTGCTCTATAACAAAATTTCCCGCCAAACTTAGCAGCTGAAGCAAAAAAAATTTTTTTCTAATGATTTCCTGGGTTAGTAATTTGGGGGAGACTCATCTTGGTAGTTCTAACCTGGGGGTCTCTCATGTGGGGCTGAAGTCACCTGAAGGCTTGACTGAACTATAGTTTTATAAGGAAATTCCTTCAAGTAATTTAGAGGTAAAGGGACAATCTAATTCAGAAAGATTGTACATATTTGGGCAGAAATCGGGCAGAAGGAGGGTAGAAAGGGAGGTGGAGAGAGAAGCAGAGAGAAAAAGATTAAAGTAAAATACTAACACTGGGGGGATCCGGGTATAGGTCAGAGAGAATTCATTCCTAGGGCACCTTCACTATAAGAAAAGCTAATAACATCAAAATCATAAAACGCCTAGGAGAAAACCTAGTAAAAAGCTGTGCAAAACCTCTGAGAGAAATTCAAGACCTACTTGAATGGAGGGGAATATCATGTCAGTGAATTGGGAGACTCAGTATTGTCAAAGTGACCCTCAAATTTATATGTAGACTAAATCTAATCTCAGTTAAAATACCCTTATGCTTTGTGTGTGTGTGTGTGTGTGAGAGTAATGACAAGCTGATTCTAAAATTTATACAAAATACAAAAATGAAGGATGACTAACAGCAAGAAAAGCAACAAAGTTAGAGGAGTTAATATAAAGTAACTCCTGCAAATGAAAGTTATCCAGGCTTACCATAAAGTTAGAATAATTCAGAAAACGTGGTATTGGTGCAAGGATAGCCAAATGATACAATGGAACAGAACAGAGAGTCTTAAAAAAGACTCAGATGTACATGCATGCTGCTTTTGACAAAGGTGGCAGTGAAACAGGGAAAAGAGTCTTTTCAGAAAAAGATTCTGAGTCAGTTGGATATCCATATAAAAATATGAAACTTGACACTTATCTTACACAGATCTCAAACCCAGAAGGAATGTATAATTATATACAAAAGGAAAATGATTCAACTTCTATGAGATATTCTTGGAGAGTATTTTTTGTCATCTTGGAGTAGACAAAGTTACTTTTAAAAGGATATAAGGAGAGGTAAATATATAGGAAAAATTTTATAAATTATACTTCCTAAAGATTAAGAACTTGGCTCACTGAAAAACACCATACTATTAAGAAAATAAAAATAAAAGACCAAGGGTTAAACACACAAAATAAATAACATGTATTTGCACCAAAAGTCACTGTCATGGTCATTTGTAGCCCTGTGTTTGTAATAGACAAGAACTGGAAACAATTCAGATCTCGCCCATCAGCTGAATGGATCAATACATGGTCATGTGATCATTCAAAGGAATACTCTCCAGTAATAAGGATGAATAAAGTGCTGCTCTAAACAACATCATGAATGAATCTCAAACATAATGTTGAGTCAAACAATTTAGAAACCAAAGAAAACATAATGCATGATTTTATATAAAGTTCGAAAACTGACAAAATATTCTATGGTAGCAGAAGTGAGGTAAGTGGTGTTCACTGGAGAGGAGGGAGGCCATAGTTACTGGCGTGCAACGGCGACTTCTGTGTTGCTGTTAATGTTCTTTTGTTATTCTGGGTTGGGTACATGACTGAAGGACACACTTACTGTTAGTACATTGTTCTCCATGATTGTACTTAAATAACATTTCCTTAAAAAAATTATTCCTCTTAAACTTTCTTTCTTTGACTTGAAATATGAATGAACAATGACAATGCAATGGAGCAAAGCCCTATGGGTCCTTCCCAGGACAGACCACCCCCATGACCCTCATTTGCCTCTTGTCTGTAGAAGAATTTTGGCCAAAGAATAAATTTAATCAGAGAAATGAAAAAATGCAGAAACAAAGGAAAACAGTCAAACAAGACTAAATAATAATAGTTTAGCCATTAAACAAAAGTCAAGGATCTTGAGTTCCTCCTCTGGGCTCTAGATAATATTCTGAGCCATATCCTTTGAACTGTTTTGTAGCTACTGAAACTCCCACCAGGTGAAGAAGTTAACTGCATGATGACCAGACTGTAACTATGACATAAACTGTTCCATTTTACACAATTCCATGAACTGGCCTCAAGGAAATGGGAACAAAGCAATCCTAGAACTGAAAATTAATTGTTCTTAAAACAATCAATTGACACTGATCAGACTACCATATGACCAACTTCAAGATGACTGTCAGAGTTAACTATGCTGCTCTGCATGTAGCTCGTCCCTACCCCCTACTGCCTATACACCCCTGAAGTTTCCCTTTAAAAACTCTTGGCCCCAATTGGCAATGGGGAGTTGGCTTTTTGGGACATTAGTCTGCCATCTCCCCAGGATTGTCAGCTTCCTCAATAAAGCTATTTTCCTTTTACCCAATGCTTGTCTCTCAGTATTGGATTCTTGAGTGATGAGTTGCCAAACCTGAATTCAGTAACAAGAATAAACATTTCACCATGAAAATCTTATGTTTGAAGTCAGTTTTCCCTCACTCTCTGCTCTTGGGGACATTTCA